CAGCTGGGCTGAGTGAGTATGGGGATGGGTGTTGCAGCACAGCAGGGGCATTCGGCTATGAAACTCGGCTGGTGATAATGAAGGCCGGATATGCATTCAGATTTTTTTTGTTCTGCAATAAAGACCAGTTAAAGCTTGTGGAAAAGTTGGGATATTTTTCTTCAAGTTCTGATATCATGTGGGAGAATAGAATGTTATGTTTTATTGTTGAATATACACAACTTTTAGTGTAGAAAAGGAACCCTAAAAGTAATTAGATATGAGTATTTTATTATTATATCCTTACACACTAAATTTTATATATACACTTTCCAACTCTCTATTCGTATTCGTTCTGCTGGTGGAGGATTACAATCTTCTCAAAACAAGTTACAACTTCCAAGAATAACAGTCTCAATTATATGCTTGAATACAATCAATACGTATTTGAAGCAATTGTGGACTATCACAAACTCAGACAACAGAAGGACCAAATATCAACTCACCAGATGGTTCTATCAGAAAGGAAATTAAGGAAAACTAGTTTGATTAGATCTTTCTATTCTTTTTGGAGTAATGTTCATAAAGAACTTTTATTTAAAAAAAAAAGTTCCTAAAGAACTTCTTTTCGTTTATTGGTCTAACATCACCATTTTTCAATAAATTGAGAACTTAGAATTATTATTCAGATCCAAAATCCATTTTTTAAAACCTTCTATTTCTCTTATTTCCTTCCATTTTCTTTTTATCGTACATCAAGAATTCAGTTACAGAGGGCTTGAGTCAATTAGTTGTAGGTCAATCCATTAAGGAAGACCTCAAGATCTGTGTCCTGATTTCTTTTCAACACGAGTTTTAGCGTACAAAGCAACTCAGAAATGGTTGTATGCTTCTGGTGGCAAATAACTGAAGATCTTGCTAGACCATGAACGTCAAAATTGATCGTAAGGATAGAAAACTGTATCATTTTGTCCGTAATGTCTCCTCTTGGTCCTTTGTCTCATCTTTTACCACTGATTTGTGATTTTTTATACTTAGGTACTTGATTTGCAATATTTTTTGGTAAGCTCATATACAGTAGAACATCAATTTGGAAATAATTTTTGTTGCTTAAAGTAGTTCTTTACATTAAATGCTAAGTTGTTTGGTAGTGTTACTATTTCTAGGGTTTGAGCAGATATGACTCAAACATATAATCATGTATTTCATCTCTTGATGGGAGGCTTGTGCGACAACTTCCGCCCCTTGAGTCATTTTGTGCGTAGATCTTACAACAGTTTGCTCTTGTAGGGCGTATCACTGAACAAAATGTGGGGAACTATACCCATGCTGTGTACATGCGCTTCCAAAGGAAGGAAGACCTTGTGAAATTCTATGAGAACCCTTTCTACCTTAAAGTTCTCAAGGAGCACGTAATACCTTACTGCCATGTACGCTCTGACATGTAAACACCAACCCTCAGTATTCTGAGATTATTTTCGTAATATTAGATATGTACTGCTTATTGTACTCAGATGTGCTACTTTTAACAGGGTTTGACTGACGTTGATTATGAATCTGAAGTTGAAGATGACATCCTCCCAATATTTCGTAAAGGCGAGGTTAGAAAAAATGTTACCAATCATGAACTTGTCTGCAATTACTTTTTGGCTCATGCATATATATATGTACATATATATATAGATAGATATGTAAATTACATATGTATGTACATATTGTTGAATACTTTAATCCTTGAGATTCAGTGCAAAATTCTACTTTGGTTTTTAAACTTTCAATGTCAAACTTCTGGTCCCTATTATTAATATCGTTTGTCTTTTTCTGTTCTTATTTTATTGGAGGATGGGTTCTCTTCCTTTAGGTTGTGCGTCCTCTTTCTTTATCTTGTATATTTATTTTCTATTAAATACCTCTTAGAAGAATGTTCAGTAGACTAAAATCATCAGTTGTTCAGCATCAAAAGGTTACCAAAAACATTTCAGTAAGGTTACCAAGTTCAGAATACTGCTTGGGCTAAATTTGCGAGCCAAAAAGAGGAAAATTCTCACAAGGTTAGGGCCATCATCTTTTCAACAGACCAAGAACACAATAAAAGCCAAGTGACTGAGGAAAAGAAGGCCAAGCTCAACAACTAGCGACTATGGACAATCTAATCATATAGATTGTTGCAAAAGCAGATTTCTTCTCACACTAATACAAACTGATATAGTTTGCGAGCTGATGTTCAGGATAAATCAGCAAATTGTAGGAGTTTAGACATAAGCCTCTTGAGATGCAAAAAGGATGTCTTATTTATAAAAAAAAATGCAAAAAGGATGTGTTGCTAGCATCTGGACTAGAAGGGATATAAATTGGTTCTTCCAAAAAGATAGTTAACAAAGCTGTCCCTCAAACCGAAATGAAGTTTTGGTGACAAAGGGATGTGAAGAGGAAAAGAACAGGAGCTAAGAAGTGGTCAAATGGTTCTAGTTAGTCAGTGGTCTTTAATTTGATACACCCTGATCCCATTTATTCAGTTGTGGCAGAAATCAAAGAGGAAGCTTATGAGGAGACTTAGATAAACTGTAACACCTCGCCCATCATTGTAGTTAATTTGTATTTGGAAAACCCTAATTATTCGGACGGGAAGGCCATACTGAATTCATTTATTTTATTCAGCAGTTTATCATCGTAATTCGTAAATTATGCCGATTTTTATTTTGATTTTAATTAATTTTAGTTAATTTTATTTTAATCTAATTATTTATTTTTAAATGAATTTCAGAAAAATAGAAAACGGGAGAAAATCTCATAGGAAAATCCCGTGAGGAAAGGCTACCCACGCGGGCGCCCATGCGCACAGTGGGCACGTCCCATCTGCATGCGCAGCGCTGGGTCAATCCTGCGGCATCTTGTCGCGCGCAGGCGGGCCGTCCACGCGTCACCTCGTTCAGGGATAGGCGCCGCACACTGTGTGCGCGCCATCCGCGCAGCAAGCTTGCGCAGATAAGCCCATGCGTGCCTGGGGCCCGCGCGCAGTAGGCCTGTGCGCACGGCACCCAACGCGTCTAGGCCCTACGTGCATGATAGGCTAGCCTTGCAGCGCGCCGGGTGGGCGAGGCCATTGCCACCTCGGATATTGTGCTGCCACCCACCTCAGGCAGTGTGCCGCTGCTCCTGGCACTGCCGCTGATGGAGGAGGTTTTCCTCCATTTTTCGTGCTGAACATTTTTTTCTCTCTTTACTAGATTTTGCCACTTGGCACAAATCCAATGGTCCCTATTTTCTATAAATAGGGGTTCTTCCTTCTTATTTTCTCCACACTTCCATTATTCCACTTTTTAAGAATTATAGAGAGAGAGAGTAATCTAGAGAGATAATAAGAGGAAGAAAAGAAGAATGGTGTAGAAGAAATTATCGAGA